TGGGAGGGGTGGAGAGAGAGAGAGTGCATTCCATGATATTCATATTCATATTCATAATTTATAATTTTATTTTACTCAGACTCATTACGTTTTGAGTGAAATTAAATTATGAATTATTATGAATATAAATATGCATATTACACATAACTGACCAAATTAATCTCACCCCTCGTCCTGTCTCTTATACACATCTAAAACTAGCTTAAGACGATCCCCGAGTTTGAGAAGATTTTGGACGATTTTTGGTATGTCGCGTATAAGACGACACCCCCTCCCCCCACCCGTTTAACCGTTAGATTTTGTCATGCACATAAGCCGAACATGATTTAAAAATAAAAAGTCTGTACGGTATGTGTTACGCGTATAAGACCACGTTGCCCTGTTTATTTCGATCGTAATTTGCTCTTTTCAAGCTTTGTCTTATATGTAAGAATATATAACGGTATATAAAAACTGCGTTTGGATCTCTGTCTCTTAGGTCAACACCAAAAGCAGTGTGTGTCAACGGTTTTCAAAGAATCATTCAATGACGGCTTAGATGTTGTGATGGAACAGCATTGGGCGAGTCGAGTGGCCGGGCGATAAGGTAGGGGCGCCGCTAACTATTACAACCTTACATTGGCGCTGTTCCAACCGCTCCTCGTCCAGGGCTCGGTTGATAGAACCAAGTCTTCTCGGATAAGGACTTAAAATGGAGGTCCTGTGTACACATTTGGCTCGTGTGCACTTCAAAGAACCCATTGCATCTTTCGCTCCGTACATCAATGATGCACTGGGTTGACCGGTACATTAAACGTCACATCATCCCAAACAGAATTTAAAAAAAAAATTAAAAAAAAATGTTGTTTTACCTTCGACGACTGATTTAGAAGTATCAATGTTACAGATGGTTCCAATACAACAGATGTTTTTGTTACAATAAATGGCTTCATCCTGTAAAAATTTGTTGACATCAGCTACATCGCCTTTAAACTCAGAATTAAAATATGTTGCTACGTTTGCTACAATACTGCCAGATCTATAAAAAAAAAAATTAAAAAAATTAGTGACCTTACAGAATCAGTAAAACGTGCACCTCTCAAACATTATGGGTTGTCCCATAATCGTACACACGTACGTTTCCGCAGTCAATTTTGTGGGATCTAAGCAACAATATCCAAGGGGCGGGGCTTAGCGGAAGTTCCATTTGATAGAAAAAAAAAAAGATTGTCTGGAAAGATCCGCTTCAATTTCTATCATGTAATATAAATGTCCACTATACAGGAACAGATAGGTTCTTATCTGTGTTTCTCTACAGAATTATTAAATTCACAAGGATTCTGAATGCCAAGTTAACGAATGATCGATTTCCTTAATTATAATTAATGTTTCCTGCGGAATGTATATTTATTTCTTCAACTCAACAGAGCATTTATCTTTTTGTAGTAGATTTTTAAGCAGTGATTTTTGAGCGACACTCATACGAAATGATGCAATTCAACTAGAATAAGCGCATTCAGGCCTCTGTGGCCAGCAGGGGTGGCGTCAGGATTTGCCCGACGAGGGGGGGGGGAGTAAGAGACAGAGTCCCCGACGGTGGGGGGGGGGACTCCCCCGACGAAGGGTTAGATTTCCCAGACGAAAGCAAAGTGGGCGTGGTCGAGCTTCGATTAAAAGGCTTCGAAAGTGGTCCAGGGGAAGAAGGCCCCGAAGAAATGTGACAATTTAGGGGTTTCAAAGGCTTATTTAATCGATTTTAGAGTCTACTAATATGTAGAAAATACACATAATTTTTCTCCCCAACGAATTGTGCTTTTTTCCCCGACGGGGGGAGGGGCAGCTCTCCCCGACGGAGGGGAGGGGGCTGGACCCCCGGCCCCCCACTGGCGCCAACCCTGGTGGCCAGGAGATTTTAGGGGGCTGGCAAACTCCTTACCACATTCAGCAAAACCTCCGAAGAATTAAAACAGACCACACATAAAAAAGTAGACCAATTCTATCACAATTTGCCCTTGTATGATAATTATATTTTCTTTATTTTATACTGCAATATGCATCATAATATGTACATTTTTTATAAACACTCAAGCGGGCCCTCTGAACCCTGTCAAAAACCTATACCTTCGGTAAATGCTGGCCTGGAGAGAGAGGGAGAGAGTGAGAGAGAGAGAGAGAGCCGGGGGTGGGAGGGGTGGAGAGAGTGCATTCCACGATATTCATATTCATAATTTATAATTTTATTTTACTTAGACGCATTACGTTTTGAGTGAAATAAAATTATGAATTATTATGAATATAAATATGAATATTACACATAACTGACCAAATTAATCTCACCCCTCGTCCAACCATCAATATGAACTTACTCAAATGATTCCACTGTACACTTTAGAAAAGCACTCCCATACTTCTTCTTGAATTCATAATCCAACTGAAAAAAAAAAAACAAACATGACGACGATTTATATCCAGAATATAATCAACAATGATTATCAATATATATATATATAACCATTTATAAAAAATCTATACTGACGTCATTGTTTAAATTTCAACCCATCCTAAAGGATTCTGCACCATATTATCTTTTAGTATGGGCCCTATATAATATCAACAAGGCAATATAAGTACAAATGGTGTACATAATTGCCTAAACAACTCTGTGCTAAACAACCTGAAAAACTCAATATTTGATTTGTTTTACTTTTACTATTAATTATTTATGGTTAGGGTGGGGTATGCGGGGCATTTGGACCCGGGGGAAGTGACATCCCTACCCCTGAATGCATAGTCTTTGTCTCTGATATTTCTTTTTGTCTATTGTCATTGTATTTCTTGCTCTGGATATGTGATTTTGAAATAAATAGTTGAATTGAATTGAAAAAAAAAAAAAGTTAAGACTCCACTTAATAAGTTAGAACAATAAAAATAGTTTCATCGGAAATTAGTAGAGGAATATATAGTACTGTCCAAATATTTTTGCAAAGCTGCTTCCACTACCCCTACCACTACCACTTACTACAACACTTACCATTCCCTACCCATACTACTACCAATACTACATCATCATCATCATCAGCACCTTCGCCATCGTCATCATAATCCTCATCATCGTCATCATCATCATTATCATCGCCGTCGCCATCATCATCATTATCATCTTCATGAGCCTCATCTTCATAATCATCATTATCATCATCACCAACATCATCGTCGTCTTTATGATTCTCATCGTCGTTATCATCACCATCATCATCATTATCATCATCATCATCATTATCATCATCATCATCATTATCATCACCATCATCATCACCACCATCACCGCCATCGTCAACATCATCGTCATTATCGTTTTACTTACACTTTGTTCAGTTTCAGAAGCCAACTCTAAGTAAGCATCGCTTGCCTTATCTTCTAAATCGTACGTGAATATATCCTGTGGACCTTTCATTACAAGAACTGTGGCATATGTTTTTTCAGCTGAAAAAGGTGAGGTAAAAATCTATTAGTACTTACATTCCAAGTTCCTTATGTAAAGAAGTAACGCGATAAAAATGCTTTTCGGCCTGCTTTAGCACCATTAACATACACACCACGTCAGATTAATGTATTTCTTAACATTACCCATGCTGCATATCTATCTCAAAGGATATATTATAT